CGAGAAGGGGGAGGAAGAGCCAAACAACGCATCAATTCGAAGATCCCTGGAAGCAGCACCTGAAAAAGACAGCGAAATCATTAGTAAGGAGAAACCGGAAAGGGGGAGAGAAGTCCACGGCGACGCATCAACTCGAAGATCCCTGGAAGCGGCACCTGAAAATGAAAAAAGAGTCAAAATTAATAAGTCTCACGAAGAAAAAGAAACTGTTACTTGCATCTTCAAAAAATCTGGAAACCTAGAAATAAAAAGGGAAAAACCAGACGAAGAAACAAATCGCATAATTTCGTGGTCCTACGGTAATCCGCAACCATTACGGAGAGCCAATGAACAATTGTGCATGTTTAACGGTGTACCGGCGATAGCCAATAAAAAGGATCGAACGATACGCAAGTGGTGGGGAGCTAACCCACTCAACGCGGCGCGAGACTCGCTCAGTCGCGACCGAGCAACCGCAGCGAGCGCAATGGCAGCGAACGAAACGATCGGTGAGCAATTGAAATCTCTGGCGCAGGAAGAGGAGAGCCTGAAAAGGCAAATCAAACAACTCCTCGAGACGCGAACAAGAAGCATCCACGCGCTACAAAGGAGACAAAGACGAGTCGAAAGACTCAAGAAAATCGCTAAGGAACTTGAAGAAACTCCTGTGATCGAAGACAACAGTGACGGCGAGGAGGAAACAATCAAGATTCTACACAGCGTAAACACGACTAAGAGAAATCCTGAGACGGTGCTGGACAGATTCACTCTGCAGAACGACGACGAAGGCGTTCAAGTATCGCTCATGGCAAGCATCACTGTACGCAGCACGAGCCAAAATCCAACGCAAGTGGAGAGGCCATTCACGCTCGTATATGATATGACAAACGGCAAAGCAACGCGGAAAGTATACGCGGACTGGGCGACAAGAATTACCGCACATCCAGTCGAGGAAGCCGATAACTACGAGGCAGTTCAAATCATTAATTATGAAGAAAGAGCAAGGGAAACCGAGACGCCTCAAAAAGAAAATATTGATCCAGAAAGTGCCGAACCAATAACGACACAACCGATGGAACGGAATGTCCCAATAATCACGGACATAACCAATATTCCTAGTACATCAAAGGAAATGAAAATAATCCTGGACAATATCAAAACCAACGCGATCTTGAGCAGCAAACGCAAGCGTAGCACTCAAGTTTCGTACAAGGAAGCTTCATCCGAAGACTCGGACGAAGAGAGACTTCGCTTTAAAAGCGAAAAGAACCGCATTTATTGGCGGAAAGAGGAGATGAAGAAACGCAAACACATTGCAAAGAAGCTTTCCACCTCCGAGGAATCGCTAGATCCTGACAACGTCAAATCTACCGAAGAAGGGGGAATGCAACCGACTACTGGTCTCATACTAACAGCGGGACCATCATCCGGTCGCGAGCCGGAAAGTTACAGCGGAACCAGGGACAACCGGAGCGGAGCCCAGGAACACCGCTGAGACGAGGGAGATCCGGGAACCACCGGTCAAAACCTAAGTACCTCGTCTAAATAATTAATAAACTGGCGTGAGTAATAATACTCAAAATTCTTTTATTTTAACTATTTTTATGTATCCATAAATTCGGAAAAGATTATTTTTAATTTAAAGTAAAAGCCAGTTGCGAAAAGTTATCGCTACGCCCGATATTATCTTAAAGGCGTAGACGTAGATTTTAAGATTACATTTACATTTAGCTATAGGATATAAGTGTAAATATAATAGTGTTTTGCGTAGAATATAAGTAATAACAATTTTCATTAAAAATTAGTTTTTCATCTCTTTTAATAAGTACGTAATGAGCGTCTCGAAGTACGAGACGCAAAGTTTAAGTTAAACAATCAATACGCTCGGAAATGACTCGCGAGATAAGTTGGTTAAGTTAAATATAGATTAAAAGCGGGTCAAAATATTATTATGTTGTTATTAAGTTAATTTCATTTTATATATCCGAGGCTACAGGCAAAATTTATTATTTTATTTTGACACGGGTAAAAATACTTATAAGCGGCCTGTAGCATATTATATTCCTTATTAAGAATCAAAAGGGCGATAGCGCAGACAGCGGTAAAAGCTATCAAAGAAAATAAAAACAGTCGGTCAATAAATAACCGAGCACCGCAAAACTTTTACCGCTAAGATTGAATGGGCTATTGTGCTTTTGACTGCTCGATGCCGCCGCCGGCGCAAACAACTCGCGTCTTTGTCGGGTGACCTTTACACCGATTGGCGGAGATCTTACTACCAAATATCTGGAACCGGATTGGCGAGCGCCGTCAAGGAAGGGGAAAGCGGTAGTCGGACGAGTATAAGAAGACAGGCTCGAGCCGAGACGAGTTAGTTGAAAAATTCCGTCGGGCTAACCGACGTAAGATAGTTAGTTTAGAGTTTCGTCGGTCTAACCGACGCACGATCGAAGTTAAAATGTATCCGTTACTAAAATCAAGGTGTCTCGGCGAGTAGTGTGCCGAACATCTTTTCGAAGACCGATTTATCGGCCTTACGCGGCGCGAAACGACCGCGTAGTGCGTAACACAGAATGTATTGCGTGCGTGATCGTCACTTCGGTGACAGTGAATAAATATTTTACTTGGTTAAAATATTTAAACCTGTGTCGAATCAATTACATCCATACCTACCTTAGCGCGAGTCATCCGACGATCCATGTGGCAGCCTGGCAGTCCTGGGAATCCTGTCATCCTGGGGAACCTGTAACAGAAAAACCACGATTAGTAAATGGATGCGCGAGTGTAGTGTAGGCCGTAAGTCTTGTGGATGGGATAACTTCGAATCCAGATCGACCGAGGAGGCCGACATCCAACGAGGAGGCAGTGGAGAAATCGACGCAGCGTTCAACCTTGCTGTTAGCAGAGGACAAAACAGCTGGCGACCGTTGACAGAAGCGAAAGCGCTGAAACCTGGCGGCTGGTAAGTCCACGTTTGGTTCCTTCCACCCTACGTGTCCGGCCACAACCTTTCCCCGAAAAACAAATAGGCAATAAGACTATATATACGT